GTGTGCCTTAGGTGAAAATCTTGTGTCTTTTGAATATATACAGATTTCTGAGATATACCTAAGAAGACTGTGTAAGACTGTACACGCCATTAGGTGTGCTTAGTTTTAGTGTTTATTATCAAAGGTTTCCCCCAAGTGGTTCTATCAATTTATATTTCCACCAGACACCTATGAAGGCTCATTTTGTTCCACACCCTTAACAATATTTAGTACTGTTCATTCTTTAATTTTAGCTATTTTGGAGGCTATGTAGTGGCTATTATTTCTCTGTAGACTAATGATTCTGTCATTTCTGCTAGTCCAAGTGATAGTCTATGTGTGCTCTATTGTACATAGGGTTTTCAGAAGTTGATGGCCAATCCTTCTTCCTAGTCTGTCTCAATCTTTAAATATATAATAGTATCTGACAGATAAGCACTGCACAGAAAACAGCAGATGAAAGACATTTGTCCAGTTGTAAAAATGATCAATAGTTTCAATGATGCTGCTCCCCACTACATGTTGTTGTTTTTTTGATTCACCCTTTCCTTATTATACCACCATCCCTTCCTACTTTCGCCTATAGCATTCAACACCTGTCTCCCATTGACCAGCCCCTGATGTGATAATGACCCATGTATTTGACGGCATTTTTTTTTCTTGCAGTATTTATTCTTCTATCTACTACAAACATTTAAAGTATCAGTATGTTAGTTGATCCGTAGATGCTGGAAAATAGTTCTTTGTCAGATAAAAGCTTGCAAATTCAGTCTGCCTTTATACTCCCTTAATGTTGTTTTTTGATGGAAAAAAATTCACTTTTTGCTCAGTGCTATTTATGATGTATATCAGAGAAATAATTCTATTTTTCCTTATAGAAAATAGTTTTAAATGTAGTAACTAGATCTACAAGCTATCTTAGATTTTAATTTTTATGTTTAGATTAAGGTATGAGTCAAAGTTCATTTTAGTCAACTGACTCAGCACCATTTATTTGAAAACAACATCTTAAAAAAACACAAAAGGGGAGCTCTGGTGGCCTAGTGGCAAGGAGCTGCAACTACAATCCCAGAGGCACACGGTTCAAATCCACCAGATGCTCTGCCGGGAAAAGGAGGGACAATCTCCTTCTGTACCAGTCAGATCTGATTTGACGGTATACTCACACACAAAAATAAAAACAAACAAATAAAAAACCAAAACAAAACAAAAAAAACCCCAACCAACATCTTTTCCTCAGTGATCTGCCATGGGGCTTTTGTCCTAAATAAAGAGTGTGCATTTGAGCCTTTTTTAGGACTCAATTCTATTCCAGTGGTCTATTAATCCATTCTAAGCAAATACTAATTTTTTTAAAATCAACTAATTAGTGTACCTTTACAGAAAGCCTTGCAGTCTGGTAGTGTAAACCTTTAATGAACCCTTATAAACGTGAATTCAAGTTATTCCTAGTTGTCAACTGTACTTTGAAACTTTATAATAGCATAGTATATATACTATTTATAATATAGCATTGTTTTTTCAATTTCAGTTTCTATTTGCTTGTCACTAATACACTGAAGTAAATTTCAAATACACTGATTTTAAAACAGTGACTTTGTTTCTATAAATCACTTAAATTTAGAGTATGTTGTCTTCAAATAATGACAGTTTAATTTCTAATCTTCTGTTCCTCCCTTCCCTTTTTTCCTTTTCTTATTGCACTCATTAGGAATTCCAGTACAATGAAGAAAAGAAGTGGTGATGAGCTATTCTTATCGAAGTATGATGGTAAACCAAAAACTGAACTCTGGGGGAGGGGAGAGCAGGAAGAGAAAGTATAAAGAGCACTACACTGGAATAGGAGAAGGGAAAGACTGGATGTTCAGACATGGCATGTGTGACAATTTACAATCTGGAACAATACTTGCATTACAAAGAAAGAGGAAAAATGTCAATGACTGAATGAAAGCCTATTTATTTTGAAAACTCACTAAAACCACAATTTTAAAAATGCCAACCAAAACTCACTCCTGTCAAGCTGGTTAGGTGCATGTATACATTTGTAAAAGTTGTAAATGTATCTTTTGCAAGAAATATAAAAAATTATTAAAAAATGTGTATTTTACTGTGAATGAATAGGCATAATTTATGAATTATATTTCAATAAAAAAGAAAACCATTAATTATACCTATAAAAACATGGAGCTACAACCCCACCACAGAAAAACAAACAAACATAGAACTATTCATATCATCATCTCAAGATCTTTTTTGAATTCTTTTTAAGGTGATTTATTTTCCTTCTCCCCAATGCCTAGTATTGTCAATATTTATGCGTTCCAGTTCCTCCTTAATAATATCTAATTTTCCTACATTCATGGTTCTCACATTCCATGTTCCAATCACTAGTGTCTGCTTACAACTGTTCCTCTTCCTTTGTATTTCCATACTCAGTTGCCCTTCCTGTCATTCCACGTGTGTTCTGTTGTACAGAGGGTTTTCAGAGACCTGCTATTTTGGAAGTGGATGGCCAGTCCTTCCTAGTGTGTGTCAATCTGAATGTTCAGATTTAGAGAAGTACCCAACAGATAAGCATTTAAGAGAAAAAGTGAAAATATATCCCTTATTGTGGAATTAACCACTAGTTTCAGTGTTGTCCCTGGCCTTGACATAAGTGCCCTGACCCACTTATTTCTTTGCTCCACCATCCATCAAGATACCCCTCCACTTCTACCCACTCACTCCCTTCAACATCTATCTCCCATTGTCTAGCCTTTGATCTGATAGTTTATATCTAAAGGTTCCTTGGTTTCTGTGATTCCAGATTCATCAGATGATAACAAGGAACTGAAGACTGAAGAACAAATTCAAACCTCGAATTGCTATAATCAAGGATGCTTTAGGCAGAGTATTAAAGGATCCAGGAAGTATCAAAAGAAGACGGAGAGTATATACTAAGTCATTGTATCGAAAGGAATTGGCAAACACAGAAGGATTTAATGAAACAACATATGAGCAAGCACCTACAGATGCTGCCCTGAATGAGCTCACCAAGTTGTGTCAAGAAATCTGGAGAACAATCACTTGGCCAACTGACTGGAAGAGATCTGTATTTGTTTCCATTCCAAAGAAAGTGGACCCAGCAGTGTGGAAACTATAGAACAATATCGTTGATTTCACATGCAAGCAAGATTCTGCTGAAAACTATCCAAAAATAACTGGAACAGCACATGAGCAGAGAAGTGCCAGAATTCCAGGCTGGGTTTAGAAGGGGTCGTGGTACTAGGGATATTGTAGCTAATGTTAGATAGATCTTGGCTGAAAGCAGAGAGTACCAGAGGAATGTCTTATCTATGCTTCATTGATTATGCAAAGGCATTTGACTGTGTGGACCATAACAAACTGTGGCTGACTCTGAGAAGAATGGGAACCCCAGAACACTTGATCATGCTAATGCGAAACTTCTACTTGAACCAAGAAGCAGTCGTCAGAATACAGCAAGGAAACACTGCATGGTTCAAAAATTGGGAAGGGCGTATGCCAGGGATGTGTCCTGTCATACCTTTTAACCTGTATGCAGAACAGATCATCCGGGAGGTTGGGCTCTATGAGGAGAAATGCGGCATCGGGATTGGTGGAAGATCTACCAACAATCTGCGTTATGCAGATGACATAACCCTGCTTGCTGAAACTGAGGAAGACCTGAAGCGCTTGTTGCTGAGGGTCAGGGACTGCAGCCTCCAATATGGATTGAGGCTCAATGTCAAGAAGACAAAGATTCTCACCACTGGACCAAATAGCAGCATCAGGATGGATGGTGAAGTGATTGAGATTGTTCACAGCTTTAGTCTGCTTGGCTCCACAATCAACACTCTTGGCACCAGCAGGCAGGAAATTAAAGGGTGTATTGCAATAGGAAAGTCTGCTGTTAGGGACTTTTCTAAAGTACTGAAGAGCAATGGTGTGTCTCTGGAGACTAAGGTGTGACTGGTACATGGTCTTTGCAATCACTTGTTAAGGCATCAGAAAGCTGGACAATGAACAGGGAGGATAGAAGGAGAATTCATGCTTTTGAGCTTTGGTGTTGAAGAAGAATGCTGAGGGTACCATGGACTGCTAAGAAAACAAACAGATTCATCCTAGAGAGGGTTAAACTGGGCTACTCCTTGGAGGCAAGGATTCTGAAACTTCATCTGACATACTCTGGCCATGTTGTAAGGAGGGACCGGTCCTTGGAGAAGGACATCATGCTTGGGAGGGTGGAGAGCAGGTGCAGGAGAGGAAGGCCCTCTGGGAGGTGGACTGATTTGGTGACTTGGGAAGTCGGGATGAATGTGTTGGAGACAATGAGATTGGCACAGGACAGAGTAGAGTTTAGAGCTGCTGTACACAGGGTCGCTATGAGTCGCAAGCAACTCGACAGCACATAATAACAATAATAACAACAACAACAACAACAACAACAACAACAATTTTCCTTCTCAATTAGATTCCCCACCCCCAGTTACATTTTAATATATTTGAGGAGTGGGGCATCATGTTTATTTCTGTCTGTGACAAATCCAAGTATGCATTATAGCTTGGCTGCATGAACTGACTGATGTAATGGAATGTCTACCTCATAGAAAGCACGTAATATATAATAAAACCAAAGGCACCATCAAGTCATTCTGACTCATAGTGACCATGCACCGAGTTTTTGAGGCTGTAAACTGCACTTGAGAAGGCTGCCCATCTTTCTCACAAGGTGCTACTGGTGGACTTAAACCTCTGGAAATGTGTAGCCTCTGAGTCAGCAGTGGATACAGCAGTGGACTACACCACTGAGGTGCCCTTCAACACGTATTAGGTGTTATAATTATCATTATGATTACATTTTTCGGGAAGACTATTTAGGATGGGGCTTAAACTCTGCTGGAAGATCTAGTGTCAAGGGACTCTGCCCGAGTATAATCGGTCTCACACTGTGGCAAGTCCAAATCTGGGGAATGCCTTCTGCTGAGCTGGGCTTCTGGCTTCCCTTTCCCCTGCTCCCTTACCATTTCTGCATTTCACAATTTGGGTCACAGCTGTGATTGATGAATCGGGCTTCATTTCCCATGCGGTAACTGTCAATTACCATCCCGCTATCCAGGTTCAGACAGTAGTGGTCACTGTGATTATGATACTGTTCAATCATCCTGTTCCTAAAGAGAAGAGGAATGATGGAAAGTCAATCAATGATCAAGGAGAAAGTAAATTACAAATATTCTATTTCCCCCATTTAATCTGGTACTCCTGTCATTTTATTTATTTATCTATCATCAATTACCTGAACTCCTGTTCGCTGACGACTTCCCCTAAGTATTCAATGATGAACTGCCCAGCTTTTAGGGGTTCTTTGGTTCTGATCCCCCAACCTTTTTCCTCAGCTCGAAATCTTTCTAGACATTGCACCCACTCATGCCTCTGTATCCTCTGGTTGCAGCATTGTTCACCACAAGGGCAAGTGTTGGGGGAACATTCAGCAAAGATCATTCTAAAAAGAAAAGAAATAACTTTAAGTCCATTCATATTATATGTCCATATAAGCACTCACTTTATGTTTAATGAAAACTTTCTATTTTGTTACTCAACCTGACATTTCCATAATGGGATATAAAACAAGGTAAGATACACCTAAAACCTCTAATGAATTAAGTAGTAAATATTTCTAAAAACAGCAGATGCAAGCTATCATCTTTTATTTTATTTTATACTGGTTTATTTACAAAGTTTGTGTACACTGTTTTTCACATAAGCTATACCGTCTTTAAAAAAAATTCTTACTTTAAAAGAATTACCTTTGTTGTTATTGAAAAGATGCACAGAAAGACATACAATTCAACAACTGCTACATGTATAAAATTAGTGACCCTGACTATATTTTAACTTGTATTTATATAAATTGTGGAATTATTTCCACCTTCCTTTCCTGTACTATTCCTCCACCATTAACATGATCTCAATTTCCTATAAATCTTTTCTCTAACTAGTATCAATTAGTTCTCATATAATTAGTTTTTTAAAAGGGCACACAATGTTAAAGGCAGACATTCTTTACTAAATCCAAAAGGGAGAGCTCTGATGGCTTAGTGATAAGGAGTTGCGCTGCTGACCCAAAGGTTCAAAACCACCAGTTCTCTGCAGGATAAAGACAAGCAATCTCCTCCTGAGTGATTTACTGCTTATGAAAATCTGCTAGAGGGTCAGCTACAGGTCGGATCTGAAATGATGGTAAACAAAACCAGTTTAGTTTAAATAAGACATCGGGGGACTTTTTTGATTTAAGGCTTAAAAATTACCTCAGGGCAATAAGTTTTTGGAGGTTCATTCACATTCTCTGGCTCAATAAAGTCAGGATTTCATGACAATTTGAAAATCTATTCTACTATTTCCCTCAGAATTCTTCTATAGAAGTTTTATTTTTTAAATTTTATTGTATTATTTTTACGTGTACCGTCAAATCAGGTCTGACTGATACAGGAGGAGATTGCCCCCTCCTTCTCCAGCAGAGCATCTGGTGGATTTGAGCCGCGTACTTCTGGGATTGCAGTGCAGCGTCTTGCCACTAGGCCACCAGAGCTCCCTTTCTATAGAAGTTTTTATCTAAAGGTTTAGAAATGATACCTGGGCAAAACTCAGTTCTTCTGGTCCCAGGCAAAGGAGGTAGTCACCAAATCTTCTGTTTAGTTTCTGTATCTTTTGTAAGGTATTCTGGTGGAGTGTATAATATACTGGGCTGCTAATTAACATGCTGGTGGTTCTAATCAACCAGCTTCCCTCTTAGAGAAAGCTGGGCAGTATCCTCTCATAAAGAGTATGGTCTAGAAAACCTGATAGAGGGTCATGATATGATGGACCCAAACTGAAGGCAGAGAGATTGGGTTCTACCTAACGTGGGAACTGTTCAGTTTTAGTATATGGCTTGGAATATAAGTAATGGTGTTTATTATGATCAAAACAGAGAATGATAGAACAACAAAATATCTGCTTATAGTTAGAGTCATAATTTATAAATCCTACAAAGAACATATGTAATACTTTGCAATTGAAAATACTGAGTCATCTATTATTTAAAAAAACAACCCAAAATATCTGTAAATTAAAATTAGTAAAATAAAAAACACAACCCCAACAATATCACTCTTATTTTAATAAGGATAAACCGTACAGTGTTCGTTCTTACACAGTGAACAGAAAGCAGAGAATACATTCCTGGGATTAGGTGTTGTAGGTAATCACCTTAAGCAGTTAAGGAGACACAGCACCATACTGCCTAATTTCACTATTTTTCTTCTACTATTGAAAGAACAGCCTGAAGATAGATTTCCAAAAATTAGCCAGTAAAAACCCTATAAATCCAATCTGTGAGGTACCATGTGGATAGAGCAGGACCGGATAGTTTTAAAGAGGGAATGTACAAAGAATTGGGGTTTGCAAGTAAAAAGGGAAGAACTCACTTGACATTTCTGAAAAGACTGAAAAACAAATTCAATCTTCAAGTTGCAATACTGAGAGATGCTATGGGTAAAAATCATGAATGAGTTATGAAACATTAAAAGAAGATGGAAAGAATTCAGTCTCTGTACCAAAAAAATTGACTGACATGGAAAAACTTGAGGAAGTACAATATGAAGAGCTAATGTTAATGAAGGAAGAAGTTCAGGCAGTGGCAACAAAACAAGGCACCTGGAATTAATGAAATACCAAATGATACGTTTCAATTAACAGATCCAGCCCAGAATGTGCTCACCAGTCTGTGCCAGGAAATTTAGAGGACAGCTGCTTGGCTGATCGAGCAACTAGGAAAACAGCTGTATTTGTTCCCTTACCCAAGAAAGGTGATGCAACAGAATGTGGAAATTATAGAAAAGCATCATTAACATAGCTTAAGATCATCCAAAAACAGCTTGAACAGTACCCTGACAGAGAACTACCAGAAGTTTAAGGGGAGTTTAGAAGAGGCTGTAGCACCAAGGATATCACTGCCGATGTCATACAGATCCTAGCTGAGAGTAGAGAAGATGAGAAAAAAGTTTATTTGAGTTTTATTGATTATGCAAAAGCAGAATTATGTGGATCATAATAGCCTTTAGAAGAATGGGAGTCCCAGAGGATTTAATTATGTTCAAATGAAATAGCTATCTAGACCAGGAAAGGTGTGGATCACGGTTCTATCTGTTCTCCCTACTGATTCAACCTGTACGTTGAACAAATCATTTCAAGAAGCTGGACTCTGAGGAAGAATGTCACATCAGGATTATTATGTAGATGACACAACCTTGACTGCCAAGTGTGATAAAGTCTTGAAAAGCTTTTTGTAGAAGATCAAAGACTATAACCTTCAATATGGATTGCATCTCAACATAAAAAAGACAATCCTCACCAATGGAAAAGGAGTATCATGACAGAGAAAAGACTGAAATTGTCAACAGTTTCATCTTACTTGGATCCACAAAACCCTTGGTACCAGAGTTCAGGAGATTAGGAGATGTATTGCACTGAGTTAAGTCCACTGACAGGGACCTCTCTGAAGAGCAAGGATGCCAGCCTGACAACAAAGGTGTGCTAGTCTTTTCACTAGCTATGCATCTGAGAGCTGGACAATAAATTATAGTGACAGAAGAATTGTTGCTTTTTGAGTTGTGGTGCTGGAGAAGAGTACTGAAGATCCCACGGAGTAGCAGAAGAATAAACTGGTGTATCTTGGGAAAAGTGAAGTCACAGTGCTCCTTGGAGGCAAGGATGGAGAAGCTTCATCTCACACACTGTGGGCATGTTGCTGAGAGAGGCTACTGCCTGGAAAGGGACATTATGTTTAGAAAGGAGGAGAGTCATCACAAGGGAGGAAGAGTGTGTCAGAGATGATGAGGATGGCATGGGGTTCAGAAAGGACAGGGTTCAGATCTATTGTTCAAAGGGTCACTGTTAGTTGTAGATGATTCCATAGCACTCAGCAACAAAGACTACCCCCATAGGATTTCCCAAGGCTGTAAGGTTTTTAATAATATTTTATTTATTGATTGATTCTTCTTTTCTTGTTGTGTACCACTGAATCAGATCCGACTGGCACAGGAGGAGACTGTCCCTCCTTCTCCAGCAGAGCATCTGGTGGATTTGAACCATGCATCTTTGGGATAAGGCTATAAATATTTATGAAATCAAACTCCTTTACCTTTCTTCCAAAGATTGGCTGGTTTGAACCATAAAGCGTCTAGTTAATACAGCCAGGGCTCCCATACCATTCAATACAGAACTGCTAAATTAAATTAGTACATAACTATAGTGCAGTGAATTACCTAGGGTGGCTTTTCTAACCACTGTCTTTGTAACTCCCACTGAAACAGTTCAAAAACCAAATCCACTAGAGCTGACCCGATTATGACTTCAGTAACTTAAAGGACAAAACATAAGATTCCCAAGAGTATACATCTTCACAGAAGTAGAGTACTTCGTCTTTCTCGTGGTGGATTCACCCACCAAGCTTTTAGTTACCAGTCTAATGTTTAATCCACCAAGACTCCTCAAGAACTCTGTTGTTGTTATGTGCTGTCGAGTCGCTTGTGACTCACAGTGACCCTACGGACGATAGCTCTGAATCCTGCCTTATATTGAGCCAATCTCATTGTTTCTGACACACCTATTCTCATTACCCCAGTTACTTAACAGGATTTGGCAAATACAAGGTGTTTGTCGTCTACCAAGGGGATCAGACAGTTTGCTAATAATGTAAACAATATACCTGACACCTATGGGGTAGGACAATGAAAATAAGGTAAATCCCAATATGGGCATCAGTCCATTTTGTCATTCTGACAGGCTTAAAAAGGGTTATTCCAAAGGCAGAAAAAGGGCTCTCTGCGACTATCAATATGGAAAAGCTGGGAGCAGATGTACCCTTTGAATCCATCACTGAAAGGCAGGACATGGGGAGGTTTTTTTTCCCAATTTATTTATTTATTTTTGACATGGGGAGTTTTAACACCAGAGAGGTGATAAAAAGAGGTGGCAGAGAAAAGGTGGTAGCAGAATCATTAGACTGATGTGAGACACAACTGTGGCCTTTTGGGCCCACACGGTGAGAAAGATAAGTGCCTCTGGGCAGGAGGCTTGCTGGCAGAGTACGGGTGCCTCTGGGTACTTGCCAAAAGAGTTGGGTTTGCCAACTCACAGAGCTAGAGTGACTGCCCTTGGGCAGGAGGCTTAGTGGTGAAGTGGGCACTTAAATCAGCAGAAAGAGCTTTATAACACTTGCCTAGGCAGGACAGAGGCAAAAGGGCTGATGTGCCAAGAGGCTAACTGGCCAGAGAGAAACCTCCTTTCTAGTACAGCTGAGCAACATAGTACGGAACAAACGCGTATATCATCAATTTTTCTTGATCCTGTATTTTAACTCGTTACTTCTCTAGAAGCCTTGTAATTCTGAGTAAGGCGTATCAATCTGTGTGGTCCAGAGTATCATGGGAGGAAAGATTGGTATTAAAAAAATAGTGAAAAGGTTGGAGAGTGGTGACATGTTCAACTTCATATAAATAAGACTTGGGCTACTAATGCTGAGTCTTCTCTTCATAATGTTAGAAGAGAAAGTATTACACTGCCTTTACGTATAACTGTCTAACTCTTCCTTACGTTGTGCTGGTGTGTTGGAGTCAACTCATAATCGCACAGGAGGAGTCTGGCCATCTTTCTTCTGTGCAGCAGCTTGTGGATTCAAATCATATGTCTGAGTTGGCAGTGCAGCTCCTTACCACCAGGCTACCAGAGTTCTCTAATATACTTTCCAGATCACAAAGAATTAAGGCCCAATCAAGGTGACTCCTAATCTTAAAAATCACAGTGAGTATTACTCTTACTTCATATCTGTGCATTCATTATACTCTTAACACACCACATAGTGGAACTGATTTATTATTTCTGCAAATGTGAAATGTTGGATAATGAGTTGGTCAGTAAGTGAGTATTTTATATAGCAACATTTTAAATAACGATACATGGAAATAATATGATCAACAGAAGAATGGCAAATTATGCCCTATCAATTTATGGGAAGACTATAGCTCTCTTAAAAGTAGTTAGTTTATGGAACATGTTATGACCCATAGCAGACGGGGTTTTCAGTGGCAGTGTATCACATGGGGAGAGACTGTCTATCCTTCTCCCATAGAGCAAGCTTGTGGATTCAAACAGTATGCCTTCAGGTTGGCCGCACAGCTCCTTACTGCTAGGCCACCAGAGCTTTATGGTTATATGTTGTTGTACGCTGTTGAGTCTGAAACACCTAATAGCTGACCACAGGGTTTTCTGAGTATGTATAACATATTTATGAATGGAAACCTGGCCCCCCACCCAAGTCAGTGTACATACACTAGCTATTAGACCAGCTATTACCACCATATAAAACTGTATGCATATACAATGACAAAATGAGACTTTACAGTGAATTAAGAATGGCAGAATTTCTCAGCTGGCACAGCTGAAGCAGGAAGTACTGAAACACTATCCTCTCAGTCCACAGGATGATGTGGAACATTTTGAAGTACTAAAGTGAAGTTCATTTAGTTCTTCTTTTGTTGTGGTTGTAAATTTATTTATGCTAATAAAACCAACAATAAAAAAAAATCTCTAAAAATACACTCCTAATAAAGGTTTGGATCTTCATAAGACTATTCTATTTTGAAATCTCAATGTCATAAAGTCAAGAGTTGTAAATAAAAATAATTTTTGCCTCTAAACCAGATAAAGATTGCCAACTCTATGACAGTATTACCATCTTTGATAAGCATCAATGACTAAATGATTGTATGCATATCCCCTATATGTCAATAGTTTGTCCACCAATTTTTCCTCCAAAATATAACAAGCCCTGCCTCTCCACTCTCATTGTCACTGTCCTCCTCTAATCTCTAAAGGTGGCTTCTACATATTGAAGCTAGAAAGATAAATAAGATTATTAATATCTTATAAACACTGTTGCACATAATGCTCAGAACACCTATAAAAATGCTATTTTCATCAATATTAACTTTCCTTATATGCAGACCTCAGCCTTCATGTACAAAATGCCTGAAATTACATTAGTCATCTACTATGCAGTTGGCCTATCAATTTTTATATATCTTTCAGCAACATCTTAATGTGAAATCAAAGAATCAACTAATTTTCCCTTCAAGTGAAGTATTCTATAACCAAAATCTCTATTTTCTAGGAATCACTTTGGTATAGTACCTGTTGAGGCAGTCATCCACACAGCCCTTCCCAGTGTCATCGTCTGGCTTCTTACAGTTACAGGTGGTAGCTTCATAACCGGAAAGGGGTTTGACATCAACATAGACATCTTGAAAAGACAGCAAATAGTTGTTTGTGAACACACAGGATATGTTTGTAAGTGCCAGAGTATGTAGAATACTGATAGAAAGGAGGCAGAAAAAATAGCTCCCAAGTTACTCACTTGAACGGATTTTCTTATATAGTGGGACATCTGGCTTTTTGTACAGCTGGAAGGAAAAAAAATCTTGATGTATCATTTAACTTTAAATGCAAGACAGTAGCAGTAATCATCACAAATACAGGAACTTAACCTTGTACATGCTCACATGGAAATATTTACAAGACTTTTTGGGCTAGATACATTTGAGAGAAAATAGGTGTGATTACTTTTTATTTTAGAATAAAAGGTAATTTGATGGATTACATGGAATGAAATTAGATTCAAAAGAAGCATTATGTAATTTAAAGAAAGATATTTATTATTATGTTTTTTTAAGTATGTTGTTGTATGGCCTTAAAGAAAAATAACAACAGATTAAAGGTTTTGTTTGGATACATTAAGATTCTAGTCTATGTGTCCATAAAAGGAAGGAACACTTGCACTGCACATGTACAGACTATCGATCCACACCCAAAGGAAACTCTGTGGCTGAGCTGATGCCGAGTAATCATGATCCTATGGCACAGAGCACAACAGTCCCATCAGGGTTTGCAAGGCTACATTTTTCTCCTTTAGAGTGGCTTGTTGCTACTAAGTTAATTCGGACTCAAGTATTTTAAAGTAGAACTCTGCTCCACAGAGATTTTTCCCAAAGATGGGCCTTTCTGAAGCAGATCACCAATCCCTTCTTCTTTTACTAAAATATTAGTTAGTAACCTGCTTAACTATGCCATCTAGGGACTCTAGAGGGTCTAGTGAGTATATGGAATTAAAAAAATTAATATCCTGGTTTTTCAGGATGAGAAATCGAGAACAAAACACCTTCTATTATATTTCAAAGCAAAGGTATTGTCAATGCAATGTCTCTGTCACTGTTAATAATTCTCCAAGACAAATTATCTAACATTTTGTCCTTTCAGGATTGAAGAGAAGTCAACAGAGAAAATAGAGAAACATCAACTGTTTCGGTGAACCAAAAGCAATCTTTGGTATCTTTCTGGCAAAATCTAGGAGCTCATTCAACTTACTTATATTATCTCTGTTATTATTTCCCAATGGTTGTTTTATACTATGGGACTTAAAAAGTCTATAGCTTAATATAAAATCTTAAGGGAAAAAAATATCCACAAGGAAAAGCTTTCAATTTTTGAAGAATGAAAAGTTAACACTTTTCCTATTTTAGTTGCCAATATGTTCAAAGATTTTTTAAAAGCACAAGGGTGTTAAACATTTTCCCTGTTTCTCTTGCTAGAACAATCTCTTTTGTATATGAAACATAATTTCACTGTGATGTGAAGGAGCCAAAAAAACCCCACAAGGCCTGAAATTTCTTAGTGCCGCTGGCAGTACATTTGAATTCTTCTGAGAACAGCATCAAACAAGATTCTTACAGAACACACTTTTTGCTACCAAAATAAAAGTCTAAAAATATTATCAGAATGTTGCCTAGGGAACAAAAAGCTTCCTACTACTGTATAGTATGGATTAAGGCAAACAGGTCATATTAAACATGGCTGTAGATGCCTTTTTTTTAGTCTCAGAATAAACATGGCTGTAGATGCCTTTTTTTTTAGTCTCAGAACCCTCTCAGGGAATTTCCCACTTTTGAATAAGAATGTAATAATGAAGCAGATAAAAAAGCTTTCCTGCATTCCTCTCTAACTTTTACACATAAGAATGAGACTTGGTAAAACAAGTGTGTTGTACCTGATTGTGTTTCCACTGCCAGAGAATATCATAAGGAAGCTGGAAGTCAATTCTCTTTTGCCGCAGATATTTTCCTGAAAGAAACAAAACCGCCCAATTAATTTTCAGTATCTATATGGTTGATATATGGTTCCAAGAGGTCACATGAGTCATAAAATCCAGTATGCATTAATCAGAAAAATATCTTTCAAATTTATAATGAGACTCTCTATCACCAGTTTAAGCTTCTTTTTCCTAGTACTCTATAAATTTTAATGTTGTTGTAGTTAGGTGTTGTTGAATTGGCTCTGACTCACACTGATTCTATGAAATGAATGAAACACTGCCTGATCTTGCACCATCCTCAGGACTGTTGTCTGTCTGAGCCCATTTCTGCAGCCACTGTGTTCACCCGTCACATTAAAGGATGTTCTCTTTTTTTGATGATTCTCAAATTTAATAAGCCAAGCATGAGGCCCTTCTCCAGGACGCGTCCCAAGTGGTAACATGTCCAAAGTACTGAAATGAAATCTCACCATCTTCCTTTCGCAGGAGCACTCACATGCTATTTCTTCTAAGACAGATTTGTTCAATCTTTTTCTCAATGGTACATTCAACATTCTTTGCCATAATTCAAAGTCATCAATTCTTCTTTGGTCTTCCTTATTGTCTAGTTTTCAAATGCATGAGGCATTTGTACATACCATGGCTTGGGTCAGGCACACTTTATTCCTCAAAGCTTTTTAACATTTTAGAGGAGGTTTCTGTGTTTTGATGGTGGTTCCACCCCCAGCCGATTAATTCCATGCAATATGTGCTTTAATTTCTTAACTGCTGATTCCATGGGTGTTCAATACGAATCCAAGTAAAGTGAAATTCTTGACAATTTCAATTTTTTTCTCTGCTTACTGGTGTAGTTGGGAGGATTTTTTAAGTTTTATGTTGTAGTTCAATTCATAAAGAAGGCTGTAAAAGCCTTAATCTTCATCTCTATATTCAAGACATTATTTTCATCTTAGCAAGGTTTTATTATTTGCATCACAGGTTTTTCTTGATTCTTCCTCTAATCCTGTTATCACACTCTTCTTCATGTAGTTCATCTTCTCAGATTCATTGCTCAGTATACATACACTGAAGAAGTTATTGCTAATAAGCTAACTGATAGAAGTGAAATTTGAGAAAAATTCTGGTTGATTCCAGAGGCCAAATGTTAAAGGCATGTTGTTGCTGTAAAGTGTGAGTTGAATCTGACTCATAGCAAACCTATGAATAACAGATCTGAACTCTGTATTATCCTATGCCATCTTTATCATCTCTGATATACTCGATCTCACTGCTGCAACCACTGTACCAATCCGTTTCTTGAGGGTCCTCCTCTCCTCTGCTGATCCTCCATTACTCAGAGCATGATGTTCTTTTTGAAGGAACCACCTCTCCTAACAACATGCCCAAAGTAATGTGAAACAAAGCTTCACCATCCTTGCCTTTTAGGAGCAGTCTGGCTGCACTTTCTCCAAGACATACCTGGCATAGTTTTTTCTTTTCCTTATTCACGGAATAACCTCTTTTTAAACTGTCAATCTATAAACGTTTTATTTTATTCATAAACATTATTTACACTTAGCCCAGGATAGCATCTTGATGCTATATATTTTTAAATTTTAATCTTTATTAGTTTTAGTGATCATTTACATAAATTTTAGATTTTCATTCATTGATTGTTGAACTTTCTCCCTCCCCCCCAGTTCACTCTTCCTCTTTGAAAAGTAAAAGAAAAATTCCTTCATTAGTATACAACCGACGCTATATATTTTTATGTTTAGAATAATTTTTTATAAGTCTCAAAGGATTTCTTTAATATTGAGTAATCACTGCAATTTTGATAAATACATGCTTGATTAAGGGATAGGGAGCTCTGCTGGTCTAATGACAAGGAACTGCATTGCCAATGCAAATGTACATGGTTCAGATCCATCAGTTGCTATGCAAAAAAGATGGACAATCACCTCCTGAGCAATAAAGCTTCTGAAAACCCACTGGAGGGTCAGTATAAATTGATTCAGACTCAATGGCACATAGTAACAAAATGCTTGATTAAAATAATGTAACATGTATTTTCAAAAGAAATTTACTAGCCCGCTCGCGGCGCACTGCTGCCAAGGCAACTGCACACGACGGCCGGCGAACAGGGCGCGCGCCGCGGGGCGATAAGCGCATGGCCGGGCCGGGCCGGGCCGCAGCCGGAAGTGACGCGACCTCACCTGCCGAGAGGGGGCGGGCGTGCAGAGGTGTCGCCGCTGCGGGAGCCAGGAGACTTAGACCCCCGGCCAAAATCGCATTCCTGCAGCCACCGCCTACTGCCGGGCCGCCACCATGGCGCTTCTGCTGCGCTTTTTGCTCTTGTGCGGATTTCATCAGAAGTTACACCTTCTGATCAGACAGTTGAAAAGGCCAAAGGGGAAACTGCCTATATGCCATGCAAATTTACTCTTGATCCAGAAGACCAAGGACCACTGGATATAGAGTGGCTGCTCTCACCATCTGATAATCAGAAGGTGGATCAAGTGATTATTTTATATTCTGGAGACAAAATTTATGATAACTACTATCCAGGCCTGAAAGGACGAGTACATTTCACAAGTAATGATCTCAAATCTGGTGATGCATCAATAAATGTCACAAATTTACAGTTATCAGATATTGGCACGTATCAGTGCAAAGTGAAAAAAGCTCCTGGTGTTGGAAATCAGAAGATTCAGCTGACAGTATTTGTTAAACCTTCAGGCACAAAATGCTACATTGATGGATCAGAAGAAATCGGAAATGACTTTAAAATGTGAACCAAAAGAAGGTTCACTTCCATTACGATATGAATGGCAGAAATTGTCCAACTATCAAAAATTGTCCACCTCGTGGTTAGCAGACATGAACTCCCCTGTTATATCTGTGAAAAATGCTACTACTGAGTATTCTGGGTCATACGTTTGTACAGTGCAGAACAGAGTGGGCATCGACAAGTGCACCCTACACCTGGAAGTTGTTCCTCCGCAGAGAAGAAAAATATGAAAAGGAAGTTCATCATGATATCAGGGAAGATGTGCCTCCTCCAAAGAGCCGGACATCCACTGCCAGGAGCTACATTGGCAGCAACCATTCATCCCTGGGATCCATGTCTCCTTCCAACATGGAAGGCTATGCCAAGCCTCAGTATAACCAAGTACCAAGTGAAGACTTTGAACGTGCTCCCCAGAGCCCGACTCTCCCACCCACTAAGATAGCTGCCCCTAATCTCAGTAGAATGGGAGCGGTACCTGTGATGATTCCAGCACAGAGCAGGGACGGCTCCATAGTATAGAGCCTGTGCTCTCCATGCTGCTTTTCTTCTTTTGAAATGATGCATACACACCTCTCATGTTCAAAATGTCTTGACCAGATTCAAAAGGTAGCAAGATATTCAAAAGAAGTAATCAGAAACACTTTGGCATTTATTTTTAAAAACTTTGGTTACACTTAAACAGTAAAGACTTTATTAAAGTCACTCATGATAAACTGTACAAAAAAGATTTTCAAGGGAATGGTTTGATAAGTTTCCAAATACTGATTCCTAAGATGTAGCACTTTGAATTTGAAACTATAGCTGTAGAAATTGGTAAACTTAAAAATAGAATACACATTACACTGATATTTGTATTATCTGAAAATGGTACTTTATAATAACTTCAATTCATTCCTGCATGTTTTTCTCATTTAATTTTGGTTCAGTAGTCCCTTTCCAAAATTGGTAAGGAAACTTTCATGGCAAGAATCTTTATATAAATAAATACTTGTTCTTTAAAAAAAATTTACTGAGACATAATTCTTTGGATACAGGTTAGTAGCAGGTAAATTTAGGTCAGAAAAAGTAGGGTTCTATTGTATACATACTGCCAACAGATTTATTTTGGTTAAAGTGCAGCTAGAGTACTCCTTGGATGCAAACATGACAGAGCTTTATCTCGCATATTTTAGGCATGCTGCTAGAAGAGGTTACTCCTTGAAGAAGGACATCATGCTTGGAAACGTGGAGGGTTGGTGAAAAAGAGGAAGACTCACCAGCTGCACTGACAAAGTGATGCAGCAATGGATTCAAGTGTGTCAGAGATGATGAGGATGGCACAGGATAGGATAGGGTTTGGATGGTTGGACAGGTTGTTCATAGAGCTCTAACATGACTAGCAACCTAAAAATAACATTACACATAGGGTCTCTATGAGTCAAAGCCAACTTGACAGTAGTTAACATTTATAACAAATGGTGCTGTGAAGCTGTAATAAGTTAGCCACTTTTAAAATTATTTGGGGTAAAAGCACAGGGAAGGAGAGTGAAAGGTAAGGTTAAAACTATCTTAAGTGCTTTGCAGTCAGCTGGAACCCTGCCACACAAGCTATTAGAGTACAGCCTGAGCCCTCCTCATCCAATTAGAGTCAAGAGCCATGTTAACCTATAAGGAAGATGCCAATGCCTCAGAAAGCTGACATGTTCAGTAAAGTAGCTTGTGACTCACTGACTTCACAAACAGCAGACCTGAGTGGGAACTTTCAGTAACATCATCTGATGGTCCATATACTATCCTTCATTTGTTTAAAACCTGCCTGAGAAGCTGAGAACCTGCCTCTAAGTAGGTTGGACACTACTCAGCTTTCCTCTCTCTCTCTCTGGAACATACTCTCACTTTAATTAACAAACTGCCTTTACTCTCACTGTTCCTCCTGCCTCCTCACATTCTTTCCTTGGCAAGTCAGACGTCCCTGATCTTGGCGACCACTGAGTTTCTGGGACTGTGCAACAAGTGCTTGGCCTTTGTTGGGACTAATTTAAGCAAATCAGAGAACCTGCTCTTTTAAAAGCTACTAAAATTGCTGTATCTTCTCTGGTTCAATTATCTGACCAGGAAATGCAGAGTGAAGCCAGGACATTCACTACATGGTAAAAAAGGTCTCTTACTTAAAAACAATTTATCTTGAGAACAAGTATAAAATGGATATCAGGTTGGCTACATAAAAGTATAAAACTCACTACAATCCCTGTGGTGCATTGTTTGAATCTACCAGATGCT